AAAATGCTCGGTTTGAAAAATAGTGAAGCAGAAAACATTTAAAATTTTTGAGTTATATAATAAAAAATTGAAAAAATGAGGAATATTTGAGGAAATTTGGAAGCATTGTGCTGAAGTTGGTTATTCAGCAAATTTTTGTTTTATGCACCGCAAAATGTGGTTCACTGCGTGTTTTTACAAAGTTCGGTAAATTTTTCGACGTGCAAAATACAAATGAATGGCAGGTAAGCAATTTTACCAATATCTTCTTACAACGATAAAAACTTTTGCAAAATCGTACTGCTACAATTCATTTAGCTTATCATATTGTCTTTCATTAATTTTTTTCCCTATCTTTTTTCCCCTTATCTTTAAAAACACGTAGTTTTTAGTAATAGTCTACTTGGTTGAAGAAATAAATAAATAAACAATAAATAAATCGACAAATCTTGAGCATAATTTCTGTATGATTTATAATAGCTTTAATTCTTTTCGATTCCTTTCATAAGATGGAAATTCTTTAAAAAAATTTTATATAAAATATTTTTTAACTTTTTAGCATATTTTTTATTCCACTGGTGTTGAACTATTCAGTTTGCTATTAATAGTTCTATTAAGTAACACTGCATTTTTGATATTTCGAAGAAAATATACAACAAGAAGCAATTAATATCAAATAGAACTTACGTATCACGTCAACATCGCGCAATTACTTAAAATAAAGGTTCAGAAGAAAACCAAAATCTTTAAAGAATAAATGAAAGAAGCTGCCTTCGAAAAGATTCATGTTTATTTTGATAAACCGCAGATCATCTCGAGAATTCTTTAAAATTATTTCTTCGTGTTAAGAAATGATTTCCAAAGAAGTCATGAAAATCTCAATTTTTTCAAGAATGATCCTGAATTATTTCGCGAATCTGTTATTATTCATAAATTTATAAGAAGATTCCTAATATATTTCCATAAATTCACTCGAATTGCATTGAATTCTGCAATAGGAATATGTTTAAAGAATTAGAAATATTGGATTTCCTGAAAACGGAGATAAAAGAATAATTGCTTTGATCTCGGAAAGAAGAATTATAGAGAACATTATTATTATTATTATGATTAACTTTATTATTATCATTACTTTATTATTGTTATTATTATTACTTTATTATTATCATTACTTTATTATTGTTATTATTATTACTATTATTACTTTTATTATTATCATTATTATTATTGTTATTATCATTATTATTATTTATGCAATTTTGCATTGACTTTCTAAATTTCATATCACCACAAGGCTATATTGAATATTTAATTCATGCATATTTTATAATAAAAAACTATGAAGGCAAAGTGGAATTGATAATCGCATCATCTTTCATCAAAAATACATTCACATGCAATAATATTTTCATTATGATTGCATGTCTTTAAAATTATTACCTATTCGCCTTAAGTTTTCTGAGTTTTTTGAAGTATAGAAGTTTTTCATTTTTGACCATCCTGTGGTTGTTTCACATTAAATTTTGGTTGTCGGATGAAATTCCTCGTGCATGATAATAATAATAATAATAATAATAATAATAATAATAATAATAATAATAATAATAATAATAATGCAATATTCAAATATCCAATTATAATGCCAAGGCAAAATTTTTCTATCCATAAAAACAATAGACAATAGATAACCCATTGTTTTAAAGAGAATCGCGTTTAGCTGCACTCATCGTTTAAAAAGTATTGATATTGGCTTTAACATTTTAGTTTTCAGTGAATTCGATGAAATAGAATTTCGATTTCTTTTTAAGCGCACTGAATTCTCGTTATCAGTATCAGACCATTGCTTGAATTACAATATAGCCTCATCCTTGAAGCAAGCTTGACCATCAAACAGCTCCATGTTATCGAATGTCAATATGCAACAGCTGATTGATGTTTTGACTTATAGAATTTTTGTGAGAAGTGGTGAAAACGTTGACAATTTTTTGATTTATACTATTTTTTCATTTATAGGAAAAAATCTTTTTCCTTGCAAGGGATTGGTATTTTGGATTTGTTTATTTCACTGCTTCTTATTATATCACAGTAAATTGCAGAAATATTTTTTAAAAAATAGCTGATTCTTGCGCCAATAATGAAAAGTTACATGTAATAAAATTAAAAAGGCCAGCTTTCCGAAAGGGGTACCAGAGTTTGCGTAGAAGATAGCGAAATTTGCGGTTTTGATCTACTATCTTACATTATCTTGTGCTTAAATTTTAGATTTTAAATTTAGATTTAAATTTTAGTTTTGACGAATATAGAATATATATATATATATGCCAAAAATTTGTGTGTCGTTAATTTTGCCAAATTTATGCCATTTCATACTTTCATTTCATAATTTTGCAAAAGATTTGTTAATTTTTTTGCCCAATTAAAATTAAAATGTCGTTAATTATGCCAAATTTATGCCATTTCATACCTTCATTTCATAATTTTGCCAAAGATTTGTTAATTTTTTTGCCTAATTAAAATGACTGAAATTCTTGGATAAAATCGACAGGCACTGATTTGCATGTTGATTTAGTTATTTCCCAGTTTTTGGTATAAAAATGTTTATCATGTTCTTTTCTTTTTCCTTGTTGAAAATCTATCCTATTTCTTATCTTATCAGTTCGATTCTTCATTGATCCTCATCGCTTATTGCATCGCTATAAATTTTTCTTTTCAACAAATTTTGAAACTATCCGTACTCTATTCACTTATTTTATCATGCTTTAATAATTTATTCATTCTGATTTTTGCTTTATGATTATTTGATTAGTTTGAGAATGAAGAATTCGAAAAATTCTTAATAACCATCGATTATTACAAGGGTTATGACAAATACGACATATATACATATAATTTATGCAAAATTCGGAAACTAATACTCCATAATATGCTTTACTGCATGATCAAAATGAATGGCGATATTCGCCACGCTATCGCAATTGTGCATTTAATGAAATTCATACAATTCGTAGAATTTATAGAACATAGCATTTTTTCCAGTCACAGTTACGCCATCATTTTTCGAAAAAAATGTGAATATTCTTTTCGACGAAAATAAAAATGCAGTCATAGATTTCAAATGGAAAAATTTCCCACATAATTAAAAGAATTTCTTCAAAAAATTTTAATTTGGAATATTTGAAAAGGAAGGATTTGATAATTTAATAGAATAGAATAGAATTTAATTTAATTTAATAGAATTTAAGAATTTAAGAAGTTAAATTAAATTATGCATATCAGTTCACTTCGTTATAAGAAAATATTATAGAAAATACTGAAAAAAAAATGTTAAAAGGTCGATGATTACGAATCTTACAGTGGTAGCAAGTCTTGATAATCTTATAATAAAGATGGCTCAAATTTTTGAAAAAAGAATTTATTTTGTTGCAAATAGGAAAATTTGGATTCTCAGAATAAGCAACAAACCAGTGCGACTCGTAAATAATTATATAATGGCATAATTTTGCAAATTATTCCAAAGACAATATGGTTCTAAGGCAAAATCATTAGCTAAAATTTGGAATTACCACATATATATGCCTTTAAGACAATTAATAATTCTACTGAGCCATACAATTAGTTACAATTAGTTGTTTGGTGTGAAAGAGGAAATATTACCGCAGATTTTTCGCAACACATGTTTGAAACGAAAAAAAAAAGTGATATCAGTGCTATATTCGACTAATCCGATTATTATAAAATATGGCCGAACAAAATTTCGAGGATACAAAAACACCACTTTGTTATCTATTTCACAGCATCGTTTTATTGTCGTTCAATGGGAGGTATTCTTATAATTGCATTGCTATCTTGTCTTCCAAGCATGGGTAACTGGTTAATTATTCATGATTTGTACCAAATTGGCGAAAAATTTTAGAAAATTTTATTTCAGGAGAATTGCTTGATTCTTTATCAACGAGCGATCAACGTCAGTCAGTTTACTTCTTTTTAAATAAGATTTTGAAAAAATCCAGTAGTAGCTAGGATTTTTCTCATTTTCCAGAATACGTCTTAGATTTTATCTTTTTCTTTTTTTTCTACAAGCAGTGCTAGTTAGACTTTTTCCGCTGACTTATCAGACTAGGTAAATTCTAACAGAGTGAATCTTGGCGATAGAAATACAAGTGAGTCACCAGGATCACTCGAAACTTTTTGTTAAAAAAGAAGCTTTTGCTAAAATAATCATTCTGATTATGCATTGTAGCGCCCGAATGTAATAATACTTCTTTGGATATAAGTGGACGTTTTATGCTATTGTCGCGTGAGCGCAAACGTCAGTTATCAAAAAACTCTAAAATGGAAGCTAACAATTCGATGGTCATTTTTTTCATATTTATATGAAATTTTATACGGAACAGCCCCAATTAATCCTAAATGACATTCATATATATGAATTCATGAGAAAGAAGTAATATGAAATTTTCATTTTACTGATTTTCAATATCTTTAATGCAAAGTATTAGGGCTATAATGGCAAAAAATATTGAAGCAAATTAGCAGAAAAGGAGAAAAATTTTATGTCTATACGAAGGAAAAACTGAAAAGTAAAAGTAAAGTAAAGTAAAACTTATGATATCGTCTTGAGCACTGTAGTTCAAGCTCTTTGTAGAACTATCCGCATCATTAAAAAATTTGGGTGGAGAGTGAATAAAATTTGCTGAAGACTTACTTGTATTCCTTTCTTTAAGTGAGTCTCTTTTTTCCTATTAGTAACTCTTGCAGCAATAACAGCTGGAGCTAGTTAACTAGAAGTGGTAAATTACAAGTAACTAATTAACTAATACAAAGTAACATGAAAGGAATAGAAAAGGAATAAAAGGAATAGAAAAGGACAATATATATAAGCACAACACAAGATATCCATTTTTCTCCATTTCATCGCTATATTCTTTATATTCCTACCATCTAAACTTTTATCAAACCAACTAGATCTTTGCATTTTTTTGAAACCGGTAAAAAGCCTAATATTACTCAAAAATATTCAAATGAGGCATATTCAGTTATGGAATTGCGAATTGGAATATAAGGCGAATAAATATATCGAACGGTGCCAATTTAAATTGAGTCGTACAGTTTCAAGAGAAGTCGTTCAGAATGCCTATATGTATTTTTACAGAAAAACAGAAGAATGTAAGCAAAGCAAAATGATGAATTGGGAAGAAATTTAAAATTTTTCGATTTTCTTCCATTGAAATATATCGAAATCGCCAAATTAGAGGAAATAGTTTAATTTCTCAACCCATCTCAAAATCTTTCATGAAAAATTCTTATAAATTCTTAATGCGTAAAATAAAAAGCTGAAGAATTTTTTAGCGCTTCAAACTGGCTTTTCCTTCGAAACATCGGACGATGTTTATTACCATGAAATTATTGGAATTAATGATGTAAGTAATTGATGCAAGGGAATAGAAAGATTTTCCTAATTTTGTAAATCTAGAAAAAAAGCTTAATTTATGGCCGAATATGCGCACTTTTTATTGTATTATCATTTCAAATACGACGATTACGATTCGATTTCTGCTTCCCGTTAGAATAAAGCTCTCGTAAAAAAATATGACTTATGTTGGAGATCCATTTGTGCTTCTAGTTCCATGGTTTTGTAACGAAAATCGTTCATCCAATGATCGATAACCAAAGGCTGAGTGATGACTACTGGCAACTTATTTGTTTGCATAATATTCTGAGAGGTTTCAGAAAGAATGGAAACTTGCTACTGAAATCGGTTGCTCGATGAAACTCTGTTCAAAACCAGGCGAATCATTGAGACTCTTCTTATGTTTATATAAACTTCGGTAGATTTTTTATATATCGTTCAGCACTTTAATAAAAAAATATAAATATCTTAATAGATGATAAAAAAATATATGAATATTAAAGATTGAATTGCATTACGAAATTAATTATCATTTATATTTTTAATATTTTTTAAATTATCATTTATATTTTTAATATTTTTTTATAAAATATAAAAGGTTATTTAACTATATGTAACTATCATTTATAGCTTAAATATTTATATTTTTAGCAATATCAACTGATTCATAAAAAACTCCATCACCAATCACATAAAATTTTTTTGCTTGAAGTACCTGCAAATTAAATAAAATATCCTTTCATTTTTTAACAGATCTACATAATTCTATGAATCTTACTTCCGCTAATAACTATTATTTAAAAAACTATTATTTGAAAAAACTTTACGAATTGTCTAAAAAATCTTCATATTGAATCCAAATTCAGTCCAAAAACGTGCATAAAAATTAGAAAATTTAACGATTTCATTAAAAATAATTAGACAACATTTAGTGCTTTTAAGGTCATCAAAACCAGCCAAAAGTACTTTTAAATCACTACCCCAAATTTCAACGTCTTCCAAATTACCTGCTAGTGAGGATCTCGCAGTCAGTTCGCCAATGGATATATTGAAAATAAATTCAATGGAGAACGAAGGAGGTTAAATTGATTTATTTAAATCTGGCAGAAAAAAGACAATAGCTCTCAAGAATTTTTCAAACATTTATTTTCATTTTCTAAAAAAAGATAAATTCTTTGCTTTCATATAATTAAAAAACATAGTTAAACAAGTAGTTTTCTTTATATAAATCAAAAAAATAAAGAAATTTCAGGTGTTAAATTTCGAAAATTCTTTCAGACTGCCAAGGTTCCAAAATTGTAGCCGTTACCAAACAGAAGATCATTAATCGATTCAACTGGCTGAGAAAACTAATTATATTTGCCATTATGCAAGCCACTGGCTCGACTTTTCATTATGCTAGCGACTTTAGCTTTGTAAGTATTTTTCAGCAATTTTTTTATTCAGTTAAGTTCTGCAATAATAGCCCACAGCAATTTGGATAAATATATATATGTATATATAATTCAATAGAAATAAATCGCTAATAATGTTGCAAGATGGAAAAATTGAAAAATTTAGAGATGGAATTGTTTTTTGGAAGAACTATCAACACAATCTGCAAAAAACTGCTCTTTGGGACCATCAAAAGACGCTCTTGAAAGCGGATTTGATGAAAGTCGACAGGTGTACTGGGATAATAGCGGAAAAATATTAAATGGTATTATATTTTTCGATAATCTGCACTAATTTTATTTGGTTTCCTATATTAAATGCGATATTATAGAATCATTAATACTTGATGCAATAACTACGTGGTGGAAGAGTGGATCTGCGGATAATTATATTGAGGATCTTGAAAGTTTAGACTCAGAGGCATTTGTAGAAAATCGTGTTTTCTTCATCCAGGTTAATCATTACAAATAATAAAGTACTTTATTATTTACTGGCATATATGGGAAACAAAGCGCAAAAACTCATATTGGAAATCTTTCATATCCTGGAAAACCTAGCATAATTTTTGCAAATTCTTAAGCTTGTTCATCAGTAACAATTCACCTCTTAACAAGAGCAATGAAAGAGTGTAGAAATATGTTTGTTGTTATTAGGAAATCACAGTGATTTCGCAAGCATGCAGGACGTAACTAGGGTAGAACTAGGGATTACAAATGTAATAAGTAGTTTTGACGAGACATCAAATAGTAAATGCGATAAAAGTAACCTCTTTTCAACCATTTGACAAGTTTTTTAGCCATTTATAACGAAAAATTTTTAAAGTTGGCTAATAAGGAAACAACCTATTTTGGCTGCGGATTAGCAGATTGCCAAGCGGACGGTCGTAATATGCAAATGGTCGTGTGCCACTATCCACGGTATTTCTTTAAAAACAAATTAAAAATGTGAAAATGCAAAAAGTAACCAGTAAAGTAACCAGAGAGATGGAGAGAACGAAAAGAGAAAACTCATAAAATAACAAAAAATAAAGGAAAATAAATTAAAATAATATAGTTTTAATAATATAAATACACAAAAATCCTAAATTTACAGTTAAATAAAAAAGAAATAAGTGAAAGTAAAAGTAAAATGTCTTACAAAATAATTTCGAATGATTTCAGTCGGATTGTGATTTTAGCAAAATTATTAAAACCGCAGCTCAATTAATTTCTCTCAGGCTTTCATTAAAGATTTATATGAAAAGTACTATAATATAAGGATGTTAAACTTTATTTATTATAATAATTTAACGTTCAAACATGGAAATTTATCGTTTAATATTCTATTTCAGAATTGAAACAAAGAAATTAACAGAATTATGGCGAACTCTTAACTTGCATGTTGATAAAATTGGTGAAATAATTAGAGAACATCCATAAATTGTGGAAAATCTCAAGTTCAATGTCAGAATTAAATAATTTATTAAAAGTAAAATCATTGCGATACAAATAAATTTATGCAATTAATAAATAAATAAATTAAGAATAAATTTTTGGCAATGTAAAAAAATATTGCACGTTCTGCTGAAACATATAATGATTCATTTATTAGAGAAATTTGGACAGCAGAGAGATTGAACGAATGTTTTTTCCAGATTTTTTTGATTTCGGTGTTAATAAATCGCCGTTTTAAGTTGCGTAAAAGACATTGTTGTTATTTATTATATAATATAATACTCTACATTATTTGGGTAAATGAATATAATACAATAATATAATACAATAATAATATAATATAATATATAATGTAATTAATATAACATAATATAATAATGTAATTATATAATTATTTCATATATATATATA